GTGACCCAGTTAGCGCAGTGTGTGTGGGTGTGTGTGCACTGCTTCTCCTGCTGGAGCAATGGGGTTCTGCAGTCTCAGATGTGTGTGTGTGCGTGTGTGTGTGTGTGTGTGTGCGCGTGGCGCACTGAAGCTCCAGTGTTTCATCATTCTCCCTTCACTAATAGACTAATGCTGGAATCAGCTCATGGCGGCGTTACGCTGTTGCCATGGAGACAAACTCCTCTGCGTTTGAACTGTGAGCTGAAAGCCTGTAATTACGGTAATTCTGTTTATGCGCACAGAGTCAGCGTGATTAGACGAGGAGAAACAGCTCACACTACTGCACAGGGCACATCTATTAGTTTAACTGTGTGTGTGTGTGTGTGTACGTGTGTGTGTGTGTGTGTGTGTGTGTGTGCGTGTGTGTGTGCGTGTGTGCGTGTGTGTGTGCGTGCGTGTGTGCGTGTGTGCGTGTGTGTCTGCACAGCTGAAGCAGATGAAGGAGCTGGAGCAGGAGAAGGACTCTCTGCTGGCCGGGATGGATGTTTTGGATCAGGCCAGAGAGTGGTTCCAGACGCAGATCCACAACATCACGGAGACACAGCGGCTCATCGGGCAGAACCGGCACGCCAGCGTACGACTATTCCTGTTACTATTACTGTCCTCCAGTGTAATATTAACATTACTGTTTCTGATGTGTGTGTGTGTGTGTGTGTGTGTGTGTGTGTGTGTGTGTGTGTGTGTGTGTGTGTGTGTGTGTGTGTGTGTGTGTGTGTGTGTGAGTGTGCGTGCATGTGTGCGTGCATGTGTGCGTGCATGTGTGCGTGCGTGTGTGTGTGCGTGTGTGTGAAAGGCTTAACGAGGTTAATTAGGTTAACTAGACAGGCTATGTTAATTAGGCAAGTTATTGTATAAGGATGGTTTGTTCTGTAGACAGTCTGAAAAACAATTAGCTTAAGGGGCTAATAAATTTGACCTTAAAATGGTTCATAAAAAATTAAAAACTGCTTTCATTCTAGCCAAAATAAAACAAATAAGACATTATTCAGAGGAAAAAACATTATCAGACATACTATCAACATTTCCTTGCTCTGTTAAACAAAACTTAGGAAATGTTTTAAAAAGAAAAAAAACAACAAAGTGGGGCTAATAACTCTGACTTCAATATATTTACAGTAATTTTTGAAATGTTTTTTAAGGAAAATTATTCAGTTAATCAAGGCTATATTTGTTAAATGTAAAAAAAACCTAAATTGTTAAATTTTCATCAACATTTTAAATAACTGCTTTCTTATTGTATGTAGTTTCAAAGAAAATTATTACTCCAGACATTATTGCTTTTATTACTATTACCATTAATAAATATAATAATAATTAATATTAGTGATTTCTGAAGGATCATGTGACTGGAGTAATGAAGCTGAAATTTCATCTTTAAAATCACTGGAATAAATGAATAAATTAAATGATAAACTACTTTTGAACAGTTATTTTATAGTGCAACATTTGACAATTTGTATTTATGATGAAATAATTGCAGCCTTGGTGAGCAGAAGAAGCTTATTTTAACATATATAACAATCATACTGACCCCAAACTTTTGACCAGTTGTGTAGAGAATATTTTATAAGTGAAAATGTGCACTTTAATTTTAACAACCCACAGACAACGTCACCAAATACAAATCAGAGAAGTCAGACTTTCTCATACAGAGCCTCATTTCAATTGTCAGGTTTTGTAAAAATCTATCTATTGAATTAATCAATCTATTAAAGAAACGTTGGCTATAATTCTGCATTTTAGGCTTACATTATAGAGAGACATAGCAGATGAACCGAGACTGCATCAGATCGCGAAGATCAATGTTGATCTGTCTTTCGAGCTGTCAGAGCGGAAATGAACAAAACAACTGGCCTAACACAACATATTATATGATTAAAATAAGGAAAAATTAACAGATAGTAATTTCGGTCAATTTTCCTGACGGATAAACCGAGATCAGGTTGGATAAACAGCTCTCGGTAATATTTCAGCATGCTTTCACTTTCGCATTTACCGGTAAGAATGACATCTCGCCCGCTCATCATTCTCTCGTCATTTAGCGGTATATATGGCTATTACACAATCATAATACACTGTGACATAGCCTGGGTGGTTAGTTCGTTGCATTGTTTTGTTTTCTCACTACAATCGATCCGCTCAATAGGGCAGAGACTGTCTCATTCAGGCCATCTCGGATTGATTGATTTGGCGCGGGCGCGGATGCGAGCGCTGAGCGCAACTGCTAGATATATGCCAAACAAACCGCGCAAACGGGGGAAACGAGACAGATTCCAAAACAAATGTCTATGTGTTAAAGCACCGTAAGATTGTATTTGCACACAATTGACAGACAGTCGCAGCACGCAGCTCTGGCTCGATCTGACAGGCAAAAAGGCAGCACTGGCCCGATCGGGCCAGTAACATTCTGTACACTGGCCCGAGTGTCTCGCACGCTGGCCCCGGGCCATCGGGCAGTCCTTATTGTCGAGCCCTGAGAAGAGTTTAATAGCGGATTTATTTGCCATGATGACCACCGCATTCAATCACACGCTCCTCTAGAAGATGCTAAAACAGCGTGTGTGCAGTGCAGCATCATGGTTTACCAGCGCCTGTGCTGAAATGGGTTGTTTATGTCTCTCTTGCAGGAAGCAGCCTGTCTTCTTCCTGTAACCCTGAGGTGTTCAACTTCTACCTGTACTTGCGCACACACCCTCTGCTGCTGCGCCGGCACCTGGGCTCCGCGGGGGCAGCCGGTGTGGGTCTGCAGGGCGAGAGTCGGCCGCTGGACTCCATCAGTCTGACTGAGCGCAGGCTCTTCTTCACGGCTGCGTACGCTCACCTGCAGGCCGGATGCCCCATGCTGGCTCTGGAAGTGCTCTCCAAGATGCCCGCAGTGGTGAAGAGCTCTGGAGTGCACAGCGCCTCTGCAGGCCTGGAGAAGAACAGCAGCCAGAGGTTAAAATTCTTATTTTTCAGTTTAATAATAATAATGATAAGTTTATTTTATATTGTGCCTCTTCAGTGCTCATGGAAGCCTCCCTATCTAAACAAATGTGTTCACACTAAGGTAATCTTATATTTGTGTGTAGTTTGTGTGAGTAAGCCTGTATATTTTAAGTAAATAGCAGTTTTTTCTGGCACAAAACTATTTATTAGGTACACCTGACTAGTACCGGGTTGGACCACTTTTGCTTTCAGAACTGCCTTAATCCTTGGTGTCAGAGATTCAGCAAGCTGCTGGAAATATTCCTCAGGGATTTTGCTCCATATTGTCATGATAGCATCACACAGTTGCTGCAGATTTGTCGGCTGCACATCCATGATGCCAATCTCCCGTTCCACCACATCCCAAAGCTGCTCTATTGGATTGAGCTCTGGTGACTGTGGAGGCCATTTGAGTACAGTGAACTCATCGTCATGTTCAAGAAACCAGTCTGAGATGATTGAGCTTTATGACATGCTGCGTTATCCTGCTGGAAGTAGCATCAGAAGATGGAGACACTGTGCTCATAAAGGGATGGACATGGTCAGCAGCAATACTCAGGTAGGCTGTGGCGTTGATGCTCAATTGGTACTAATGGACCCAAAGAAAATCTCCCCCACACCATTACACCACCACCACCAGCCTGAACCGCTGATACAAGGCAGGATGATCCATGCTTTCATGTTGCTGAGCCGAGCATCCGAATGTGTCAGCAGAAATGGAGACTCATCAGAGCAGCAACGTTTCTCCAATCTTCTATTGTCCAGTTTTGGTGAGTCTGTGTGAATTGTAGCCTCAGTTTCCTGTTCTTAGCTGACAGGAGCGGCACCCGGCGTGCTCTTCTGCTGCTGTAGCCCATCCGCCTCAAGGTTGGACGTGTTGTGTGTTCAGAGATGCTCTTCTGCAGAGCTCGGTTGTAGCGAGTGCTTATTTGAGTTACTGTTGCCTTTCTATCAGCTGGAACCAGTCTGGCCATTCTCCTCTGACCTCTGGCCTCATCAACAAGGCATTTGCGCCCACAGAACTGCCGGTGTACCTAATAATGGTGTACCCAATAAAGTGGCCAGTGAGTGTATTGTTGTGCATGTCCCTGCCAAATAAATACATTCAAACTCAAAATCCTAATTCACAACAGAAGTAGGAGGCAGGGTTCAGACATATGGATTCAAGGTCTGGAAAGTGCTTTAAAACAAACACAGGTCCTTGAAAGCGCTTGAATTAAAGTGAAATTAAAGTTGTAGCTGCTGTCAAAAACAGAACAAAAAAATTGCAATTTAAAAATGTTGATTTTAAATCTTGGACAAGAACTCTGACAAATAATCCACATTTGATCAGTATTTCAGAAACTGCATTTGTATATTGCTAATATTGAATTCAACACATTGGATTAGTTCTTGATCATGACTACATTAGTTTAAGTTCAAAATTCTAAACACGATTATTACTTGGACATTTATAATGTGAATATTATCAGTATGTGAAATGTTAGGATGTATTAAATCAAGACTTAATTAAGACTTTCATGGCACTACATGTGCTTGATTTTAAAATGAGTGCTGTTTTAAAAGTCCTTGAGTCTGCTGTCCACGAAAGAGTGAAAACCCTGAGAGGAACAAGACGACAACAACAAAGTCAAACTAAATATAACAAAGACAAGAGAACAGAGAGCAAACTGAAACCGCAGCTACAGAACATTCAGAAATAAGGGAGTTTAGTTTTGGGTTGTTTTATTATTGGCTTCATTAGTCTGTGAACACATTTCTGTTTAGTTTTTTATGTATTTGGTTTCAGGCGTCACTTAATTTTGATTTATTATTTCTGAAAATGTATTCTTCTGAAAAGGCTTCTGGATTTAAGAAGCTTTAATTATTTAAACTAGAAACAAGGCAGAAACTCTGAGTAAGGAAAGCATTGTTTACAGTGTGTATGGTGTTTATTGAGCACTAGTTTTCCTGCTGATTTTCTCTACTGACTTCTCAGACAGCAGACGTCAGCTGTGGACTGGTCTCCGGCGGTGCAGAACGGGCTGGACTCAGTGTCGTCACTGTCGTCTCCACGTGAGGACAGTCAGTCAGACTCGGTGCTCAGTTTCGACTGGAGTCAGCCCTCCGTCACGCTGCAGGACGAGCCGCTGGAGCTCCACTGGGAGGATGAAGAGGAAGATGATGAGGAGGAGTCGGGGCTGGCCATGAAGAGCATCCACCCAGACAGAGAGCACAGCCTCACACCAGAACAAGGTCTTTCCCCAAACTTTATTTCATTTTCTCAATTACAGATGCAGCAAGACTGAAGAATGCTACTGCAATTGATCAATATATTATCAATCATATTGATCAATATATATTATATTATCAATGAATATTGATTATATATGTTAATGTATTTTAACTATTGGTTTTATTAAACGGTAATATCCATTAAAATAAGACTTTGGTCACCAAACATTTTCATGAATGCTGCTGGGCAATAATGAATCATGATTAATCACATCTAATATATATATATAATATAATAATACAGGATTATCTGCTGTTATGGCTTTACAATCAATAAATGTGATAATAATGGAAGTCAATGGGGCAAAAACAGCTACTAACATAACCACAGGGGAGTCAATCTGAGCAGTGTGTATTGATGAGTTTTCTAAAAGTTCGATATTGATAATTATCATGATATACATATTTTTTTTCGATAAAACAATAATGACAGTTTGAGAAGTGTTTGATAATAATTACGCACTATGCGTCACGCTGCGCAGGCATTTTGCAGACTGTCTTTCCAGGTGCCGCACACAGTACAAGTGTTCAGCCATACAGTGTTAGCTGATCTTGGAGGAGTGAGAAAAAATAAGGTAAAAAAGGTCAGAGTCGCAGACATTGTTGACTAGAAACATCACTAATCATCAGTAGTCTGGAGCTACTTACTTTTTTCAAGTCCGACACTAAACACAGCAACGTGCACTGCAAACTGCGCAGACGACTCGTGTCATCAAAAGCAGCAACACCACAAACCTCCATCTTTTAAAACAGCACCGCCCTAATGAAGATGCTAATAACATTACAGACACAAACTAGTGTTGGTAAACCGGCGCAACCACCCAGCAGAGGTTCATGTCATCATTTTCGACAGCCGTGCCTTACGAGGATAAAAAACCTGGAAAAGACAGACGAAAGACATGACAGAGGACACAATCTCAGTGAACACTTGATGCTTGCTGTAAACTACAGGCCGCATTATTTGAGGGCATTTGTTACGACATTAATAGGATCTTTTGTTGTCAAGCTTGTGTTTCCTTTTTAAAGTTCTTAATACATATTGCCCCTCAGAGACAGTGACACAACCAACCCTTATGAAGGACATCACTGAGGAGAAATGCTCAAGACAATATCTTTAAAGTTATGACATATTAAAAGTGCAGCAAATATATGACAGACGTTTACAGCAGCAGTGGATCATTGATTAAACCTCATTTTCCACAGAGCGAAGCATCATCCACCCGCAGTTGTTTAAGGCGGGCATGAACTAAAAGTATAAACACTTTATATATTTCTCTTTGAAGATATTTCTCTAAGTCATCAGTCCTCATCTTGCTGGACTTGTCAGCTGCTTTTGACACTGTAAACCATCAGATCCTGCTGTCTACGCTTGAGTCACTGGGCGTTGCAGGCAGTGTTATTCAGTTATACAATGGTTCAGATCTTACCTCTCTGACAGGTCATTCAGGGTGTCTTGTAGGGGAGAGGTGTCCAACCTACAGCATCTAAACACTGGGGTACCACAGGGCTCTGTTTTTGGGCCACTTCTCTTCTCCATCTACACGACATCTCTAGGACCAGTCATCCAGAGACATGGATTCTCCTACCACTGCTATGCTGATGATACCAGCTATACCTCTCTTTTCACCCTGATGATCCCTCGGTTCCAGCTCGCATCTCAGCCTGCCTGTTGGATATTTCACACTGGATGAAAGATCATCATCTTCAGCTGAACCTCGCAAAAACGGAAATGCTTGTAGTTTCTGCCAACCCGACTCTACATCATAACTTTTCAATCCAGATGGATGGGGCAACCATTACTGCATCCAAAATGGTGAAAAGCCTTGGAGTAACGATTGATGACCAACTAAACTTCTCTGACCACATCTCTAGAACTGCTCGATCGTGCAGATTCACACTCTATAACATCAGAAAGATCCGACCCTTCCTATCTAAACATGCAGCTCAACTCCTTGTTCAAGCTCTTGTTCTCTCCAGACTGGACTATATCAACTCTCTACTAGCCGGGCTTCAGCTAACTCTATCAAACCTCTTCAGCTGCTTCAGAACGCAGCAGCACGAGTGGTCTTTAATGAACCTAAAAGAGCACATGTCACTCCGCTGCTCATCCGTTTGCACTGGCTGCCAGTTGCTGCTCGCATCAAATTCAAAGCTCTGATGTTTGCCTACAAAGTGACTTCTGGCTTTGCTCCTTCTTATCTGCTCTCACTTCTGCAGATGTATGTGCCTCCAGAAACTTGCGTTCTGTGAATGAACGTCGCCTCGTGGTTCCATCCCAAAGAGGGAAGAAATCACTTTCCCGAACTCTCGCATTCAATCTGCCCAGTTGGTGGAATGAACTCCCTAACTGCATCAGAACGGCAGAGTCACTCGCTGTCTTCAAGAAACCACTTAAAACTCAACTATTTAGTCTCCACTTCCCTTCCTAATCTGCAAAAAAAAAAAATAATAATAATAATGTTTTGCTTCTTACACTTTCTTTACACACCTGAAACTCGCCTACAGCACTTCATTGTTGCTCTTATAGTTTTGTAAATTGCTTCCTTGTCCTCATTTATAAGTCGCTCTGGATTAAAGCATCTGCTAAATGACTAAATATAAATGTAAATTAATTAAATCTTTATTTTCCACAGAGCGAAGCATCATTGATGCGCAGTTGTTTAGGGCGGGCATGAACTAATAATATAAACACTTTATATATTTCTCTTGAAGTTGTATCTTTTTGCTGTGAATTTGGTTGTGTATAATGTGTAACTTAACTCTAATGTACAAGATTGAATAACCTCTTAGGTGAAGAGCTTTAAAACAAGCCCGCTTATATGCTTTAGCGGCAAAACAATCCATCAAACTATTTTCACAGTTTCATTTTAATTTATTAACAAAGCGCGGTTTGAGCAGCGTGAGCTGGACAGTCGGTACAGGCTATTGGCAGCACTGATTTCTTACATTACCTCGGAAGAATTAGCTCGGTCAGCAGGATGAGAGAGCTCAGAAACCTGTTGAGTAAATGGAGAGGCTCTCCACATGTGGGCTGTGATGTGCCGTTTATAAAATAAGAGTCTGCATAGGCGTATTCTAGCCAGTCTGTGAGGTCAAATTTAAAGCTCCCGCAGATATTACAGAGATCTGTGCACAACAGGGTTTTATGTGTCCCGCAATATGCAATGTCAAGAGGGTGACTGCATAAGGTAAACTGCACACACTTGATCTGAGTGGATGAAAATGACCCAACAGCACACAAGAATTTACTATTGTTTGGTTGTCCTCTCAGGTGCAGCGGCGTCCCCCTCGTCCCCGTGTGCAGACAGCAGCAGCAGCAGTGGTGTTGTTCTCCCGCTGAGCTCCGACATGCTGGCAGCACAGCTGAAGTTCAGCTCCTGCCTGAAGATGCTGACGGCGGAGCTGCGGACGCTCTCCACGGGCTGCGAGCTGGACGGAGGGAAGCTGCGGCACCAGCTGAGTGTGTGGCTGGAGCGTGAGGTGGCGGCGCTGCAGAAGAGCTGCGGGTACAACCCTCTGCTGGAGCCGCAGCCGCAGCACCGGCGCAGACACTGGCTGCAGAAGAACCAGCCGCTCCTGCGCATCTTCCTCAGCTACTGCAGCCTGCACGGCTCACACGGAGGAGGACTGGCTTCTGTACGCATGGAGCTCATACTGCTGCTGCAGGAGTCACAGCAGGTGCACACACACACACACACGCACGCGCACACACACACACACACACACACACTGCTCTTCACTACAGCACAGTTTATATTTACACTAGAGTCATTAGGGTAATAATTAGTCATCATAGTACACACTCTTACACACACTCTCACACACTCTCTCTTGTGCGTACACACACACTTACTCACTCAAACACTCTCACACTCACACACTTTCTCACAGTATAGGTGTTGCCCTCCAGTGACACACACTGACTTTCTGCCTGCGCTGTGTTCATCAGTATGTGTGTGAATTCTCCTGTGTGTGTGTGTGTGTGTGTGTGTGTGTGTTGTGTGGTCAGGATGGCGGTCTGCAGGTGTCAGTCCCCGCTCCGCAGCATCTCTCCGTTCCTCTTTTCCTGGCCTGGACCGCCAGCTCTAAAACAGTGGTGGCCAATCCCATAATGCACCTCACCAACCTGACCCACGACGTCCTGCACACCATCACGGCGCTGGACACCCCTCCACACCCGGACCTCATCAACAATGAGGTGAAGCCGATGATCTGAGCAGAGTGTGTGTGTGTGTGTGTGCGTGTGTGTGTGCGTGTGTGTGTGCGTGTGTGCGTGCGTGTGTGAGTGCGTGTGTGCGTGCGTGTGTGAGTGCGTGTGTGAGTGCGTGTGTGTGTGTGCGTGTGTGTGTGTGCGTGTGTGTGTGTGTGTGTGTGTGTGCGCGTTTGTGTGTGTGCAGTTGAATTATTCGCCCTCCTGTGATTTATTTGTTTATTTTTTTATAATTATTCCCCTGATGATGTTTCTCAGATTCAGGAGTTTCTCTCAGTGTTTTCTCTAATATTTGTTCTTCTGGAGAAAGTCTGATTTGTTTTATTTGGGCTAGAATAAAAGCAGTTTTTAGTTGTTTTAAAGCCATGTTAAGGTCAATATTATTCGCCCCTTCAGCAATATTAGTGTTGGATTGTCTCCAGAGCAAACCACTGTTATACAATGACTTTACTGACATATTGAGTTGTAGGTGTTAACTAGTATTTTGGTCTTAATTTTGCTTTGTTCAAGTAAAGCTACACAATTTGGGTCTATATCAATCTAAAGACCAACCACACATTTTAAAAAAATTATTTATTTTTATGCTTAAGTTTTTTATTGTAAAGAGAGAGTTAACAACAGCTGTTAGACATTTTTACAGCAAATTCCCCAAATTAAATTCCCTAATCAGGGGGAAAACACTAAAATCAACTACATGATTCCTCATGATGATACTGGGCCATTAGAAACAATCCTAACCCTGTAAAAGTCTAAAGATTCATTCTTTATGGTCTAAAAAGAGTCTTAAAGTCTTAAATTTGACTTGATTAAACTGCAGAAACCTGCTTTAAGCTGTATAGAAGTGTCTTGAAGAATATCTAGTCTAATATTATTTACTGTCATCATGACAAAGAGGAAATAAATCGGTTATTAGAGATGAGTTATTAACACTATTATGTGCAGAACTGTGTTGGAGAAATCGGCTTTCTGTTAAACAGAAATTGGGGGAAAATATAGAGGAGGGGGAATAATTCAGGAGGGTTAATAACTTAGGAGGGCTGGTAATTCTGTCTTCAACTCTAGATGTATAATGTTGCACAGTGAGCAGTGCTTCAAAGTGAACAATCCTTATCTTGTGGCCCGTTTCCATTGAGTGGTGCTGTTTGGTTTGGTATGGCCCTTTCCACTGTCAAAAGGCATACCGAACCTTACCGTACCACTTTTTCGGCACCAAACACGAGAAAGGGTACCAAAAGGCGGAGCTAGATGCACAGCTGAACGCTGATTGGTTTACAGAGAAACGTCATTTGCTTGCGCAACAAGCCAGAATGAAAACAAAAAACCTGCCATGTTTAAAATACTCAGCGAGAGATTACAAATTATATATTCATATAATAATGATCCATGGTCGACCCGGCCCAAACAAACCTTGTTGTCGTCCTAATGAACAGCCACAAAGCCAAGAAGAAGAGCAGATTTACCCTGTGCCTCATAGTTTTTCACGAGCCAGTCTGAAGTGCGAGTGCTTTCGCTTTCTTGCTTGCGTTCGCCGCACGTCTATATCTGAAATAACAAACGTCTTGAGCTGATGATAATAACGTGCGCTTGATTATTGACGTGCTTTTGAAACCTGATCCTGTCAGACACTGACTAACGTGAGAGTGAAGCGTGAAAACACAAAGGAGAAGCCGGAAAAAAAGCAGCAGATTATTATTTCAGCAAACGTGAACAAACTGCCCTGTTTAACTATTATCATCAGCTTCTGCACTAATATGAACACAGAATGACGGAGTTACTCTCTAACAGAGGTTACATGAGCTGCTGAAGATCACACACACAGATGAGAGGTTTGATCTGACTGTGGCCTGTATTTTGTGTTGTTTTTGAACCCAAATAAGGACTAAATGTCTGCTGTGTGTTGTTTTACTGTAGTTGGTATCATATCGGAGACTGTAAGGGGCTGTATGTGTTCATATATGTTCATTTATTTATTTATTTATTTACTATAAAAACAGACGTTGCAGTTGGCTATTTTGCACTGTCATTGATCTGCAGTTATAATCAACTCATGTTCATAGAAAAGTCAGTAATGAACATTTATACAGAAGTATTTATGTGTATATTGTCTGAGTCATGCTACTTGGTCAACAAATCAATAACATTGAGGGTGACTTTATTATTCGACATTCGATGGAAGTTATTGCGCTCATGTCAACAGGTCCTCTAGACATTGCTATTTTTAAATGTAAACTAACAGTGCTTAATTTGATCTGCAGTAAACATAGAAAAAGTCTAAACTATCTGGACATCAGTAAAACGGTTGAGTTGCAGATAATAATGAGCCTGATATGAATGAGATGTGGAGCAGCGTTGTGTTCATGATACTGAAGGCTCTGTTCATTGTCGGAATTTTGGTATCGCTTTATAATAAGGTTGTTTTAGTTAATGTTAATGTATTTGCTAACACAAGCAAACAGTGAACAATACATTTGTTACAGTATTTGTTCGTGTTACTTAACGTTGGTTAATGAAAATACTCTGCTTACGTCTGTATGAACAACAAATTGTGTTTCGTAAGGGATAAAGTAGAACCTGGAGGTTTATTCTGAGAAAACAACCACCTGGATGTACTTTATCTCGCTTATTACCTGGCTTCTGTCCACAAAACATAAACATTAGACACAAAAGATTGTTCAAAGCCATAATAGTTTGTTAATTCCTTAATTAAACACAAAGCTGACAGAATGAAAACAGCTGATGGAGTATACACTAACCTGCACATTATTCAGACACTAGATGGAGACAAACAGTCAAAACCAGTCAAATTCATGATTTAACAGACAGACAGGAATGATGTCAGTATATGGGTGAACATATTCACTGACAGTGAGTTTCAGATCCTGGATGAGACTATTGTTATCTGGGAATAGCATGACTTTGAACGTCACAACTGGCTAATCAGAATAGAGTATTCCTGATGGATGTGTTATTAATCAATTTAATAGTCAAATATGTTTTGAGGCTCCAGGCAGATTCAGTTTGGTCCAAAATGAGTCTTCTGGTGGTAAATGATGCTGACCCCTGCTGTCCTCTAACGCTGTGTTTGTGTGTTTAGATCTACGTGATGCACACACTGGCGGCCTCACTCTCCGCCTGCATCTACCAGTGTCTCTGTGACGGACACAACTACAGGTGTGTGTTTCTGTCTCTGTCACACTCGCATCAGATTCTGCATTACACACTAGGGGCTAAACGGATTATTAGAAGTCCACCTTCATGTTATTGAAGATGTCGTGAATAAAACACAAGAAATGCAAATGTTTTCCTGCATGACACAATTTGAAAAGTATGACAGCTCATAACACACTGCAAAAGCAATGCAACATTACTCATTTTAGTGCAGAGCAAGTGTACTGTCAACATTGCTCATTTCTTTAATAGCACAACGTTACATTAGCATGGGCTGATTTTATTGATGAATAAATGCAGTCAGCACAATGATCACGGCACAGTCTACCTAGAATATAACCATGATTAACAAATATTTACAGTGCATCCGGAAAGTGTTGATAGCGCTTTACTTTCTCCACCATTTTTTGTTACAGTCTTATTCCAAAATGGCTTAAACTCGTGCATTTCCTCAACATTCTACACACAATCCCCCATAATGACAATGTGGAAAAGAGTTTATGAAATGGCAGCAAATTCATTCAAAATAAAAAGTTGTAAAATCAGATGTACATCAGTATTCTCAGGCTTTGCTCAACACTTTGTTGATGCTCCTTTGGCAGCGATTACAGCCTTGAGTCTTGTTGAATATGACGCCACGAGCTCTGCACAGCTGTCTTTGGGAATTTCTGCCCGTTCCTCTTTGCAGGACCTCTCAAGCTCTATCAGGTTGGATGGGAAGTGACGGTGTGCAGCCATTTTCAGATCTCTCCAGAAATGTTCAATAGGATTTAGGTCTGGGCTCTGGCTGGGCCACTCACAGACATTCACCGAGTTGTTGTTGTGCCGCTCCATTGATATGTTGGCGGTGTGCTTTGGGTCATTGTCCTGCTGGAAGATGAAGCGTCGCCTCAGTCTGAGGTGGAGAGCACTCTTGTGCAGGTCTTCATTCAGGATGTCTCTGTACATCGCTGCATTCATCTTTCCCTCTATCCTGACTAGTCTTCCAGTTCCTGCTGCTGAAACACATCCCCACAGCATGATGCCAACACCACCATGCTTCACTGTAGGGATGCTGTTAGCCTGCTGATGAGCGCTGCCTGCTGTTCTCCAAACGTAACGCCTGGCGTTCACTCCAAACAGTTCAGTTTGAGTCTCATCAGAGCAGAGAGTTTAGTTTCTGATGCATCCTTCAAATGGCAAACTCCAGGCGGGGAGTGTCTTCCGTCTGCCCGCTCTACCATACAGATGCCTGATTGGTGGATTGCTGCACAGATGGTTGTCCTTCTGTAAGGTTCTCCTCTCTCCACAGAAGAGCGCTGGAGCTCAGACAGAGTGACCATCGGGTTATTGATCACCTCCCTGACTGAGGCTCTTCTCCCCTGATCACTCAGCTTAGACGGCCGGCCAGCTCTAGAAAGAGTCCTGCTGGTTAAACACTTACAGATGATGGAGGCCGCTGTGCTCACTGGAGCTTTCAGAGCAGCAGAAATGTTTCTGTCACGTTGTGAGGAAATAAATGAGTTTAATTCATTTTGGAATAAGGCTGTAACATTAAAACATGTGGAAAGAGTGAAGCGCTATCAACACTTTCTGCATGCGCTGTATGGTGCAGAAGTAATGCATACATCATCAGCACATAGAATTATTATATAAAAGCATAACGCACAGGACCGACACTGTCAGAGTCCTGCTCAGACGCATGTATTACCACAATGATGATTAAAAACAACTCAAAATCAGACCTTTTCCATCATTACTGCTCATCTTGAATACCAGACGTCTCCTGAGTTCATCAACTCAACTGATGGATTCAAGGTTTCTGTGTGTTTCTTGATTCATTCACAAAACACTTCAGCATCTACGCTTAGCAGAGGACAACAGCCAATCACAGTGCTGCTCCAGTGTTGCACAAACACAGATGACTACATCTGCTCTAGGGTGTTGGCATGGAGCAAATACAGTTTAATGTAAAATAATGCATTGCAATATTGAGTTACTTCCCAGTGAAGTGACTAGTTGTGTTAGTTACTCTTTATTGTAGATAATGCGTCACGTTACTTTCTTCAACAGAGGAGCTCTGCAGTTGACGGCACACTCTATAACCTTCATTTACCTTTAAATTACCCTACAAACTAATAATCTAGTAATCTTCTGAGAGCTTCCCAAAACTCTGCATGCCGTGTATACAGATTAATAAACGTTTAAAGCAGTGTACTTGCTGCTTTCTGTCATATCAGCTAAGTAAAATGCGTGTGCATCGAGACTATAATCTCGTTTTCCTGTTCTTCATGTGTTCAGAATAATGAGATGACTTCCAGCATTGCAGACGTGTAAGCCAAAGCCGTCCTGCTCTCTGTCTGCTCCTGCATTCTCTCATCGCTGCGGGATTCAACGTGACGGCGTTCATTTTAATTCAGCAGTTTATTTTTAAAAAGCCACTTTCATTACATCTTTAAAAAAGCAACTCGAGTGTTATTGCTTAATCTTTTAATGTAATGCATTACTTTACTGGTTACTTAGAAAGGTCATATTATTATTATACGCTGTCATGCGTTTCCCCCAACACTGCCCACAGAAGGCTTGTCCTCTCAGATGAGATTCTTCATTACAGACCGCTTCTCTTCATTAGCGTCTGCTCATCTCGTAATGTTCTCATGATGACCGACTGACCTCTGGAAGCGACGCTGCGCTCCTCGTCTGACATTAGTAGAGCTTCAGATGAGCGTAGCCTTTCTGTGAGAGCGTTTCGGCTCCGTCACGGCAGAATACATCAGCGCTCGATGTTATGAGCTGAACATGTTGGAACAGAAGGCCGGATGATTAAAGCAGAACTCATGTTTCTGTCCTCATTTATTCTCCCTGGTGTCTCCATCAGCCTTCATGCTGTTCTCCAGCACACAATCACTGCAGGCGGAGCAGAAACGGCTCATTCCCTCATCACATGTGCTGATATGAGGATGACGGATGATGGAGCAACACAACATGAAATGAACAAACTTTTTAAAGCACACACTGAAAGATCTTCTCATCAACATCTCATCTGTGTATGATTCATTTATTCCAGTAAAGTCTTCTCCTGGTGGCGTGCTTTTATCCAGTTATTCACTCCTGTTATTAACTCTTTCCCTGACAGCGGCTTTTTTAAAGTTGCCAGCAGTTTGACAGCCCTCTGAATATTTCAGCTATGAATATATGAGCATATCATATATCAAAATAAAGAACCAAACACACAGAGCCCTTCATTCATATCTACTGAACAGCCCGCTCTGCTATTTTAACATAGACATGACATGTTCAACCTAAATGCCTGTCAGTCTTCAACGCTTTGCTGCACAGATTTAAGCTTGCTCTTGTTTTAATGAAGACAGATGTCAGATTGTAGCTGAAGTGAAAAAAGAATAAAGACTAAAGTTTTGTGCCTTTAAGTTTATGAATAATGAAACCAGAAATGTAGACTTTTATATATTGCATAGAATAAACGGTGGCTCAGTGGTTAGCGCTGTCGCCTCACAGCAAGAATCAGATGCTGCTTTAAGGTTTAGGTTGTGTTTTTATTTTAGTTGTTCAACAGTCTCTAATATACATATTTATATTTCTGCCTGTTCTTCTACAGCCATGTGAACCCATTCACGGGCAGCTCGTACCAGAGTGTCCTGCTTACCCATCAGCCCTCAGTGCGGAGCGGCAGTGTGGAGGACTCAGTGCTGCCCGACACCATTCCCTCACAGTGGCCTGGTAAAGCACACAGATTTTGTGTCAGTGACCGATAATATGACAATAGCTGTTGTTAGCGTGAAAATAATGTGGAAAAAATGACATTGACAAATAATTTGACATAAAAAATCATATCTTTCATACAAAAGAAAAGTTGTTGAACGGTATGACGTAAAGAATTAATGTTGACTGATGATATGATGCGACAATAATGCAAAAAATTACGTAAAATATGACCAAAAAAATGACGCTGATGAATATGATGTGAACAAATTCCGTTGACGTGTAATATGCCATGAAAATAATGTGCATATCTGTGTTTAATTCTGCGTGCATGTGAATGTGTGTGTGCAGGTGTGAGTGTCCTGATGCGTCTGCTCAGTGCGTCTGGAGAGGAGAATCAGCCGGGTGTGTCTGTGCTGCTGTGTGAGATCCTCACTGCAGTCTTCCTCAGTCTGTTCGTTCACGGTTTGGCCACACACTCCACACACCAGCTCTACCGCACCGTTGCGCACCCGCTCAACAGCAGACTCTGGGTGTCTGTGTTCGGCGGCGGCGCTCGCAATCCTGCACCCCAAAAACCAGGATCGCCATCAGGTACGGCTCTCGAAGACACACCCATGTGTGACTGCAGAACACACACACAGATTGGAGAATACACACTCAGACACAAACTCTCAAACGCACAGTTTAATTATTATCAGCATGCAGAACTGCTGGATTACTTGTGAATTTTTTGTCTGATTACAAATTAATTGACAAAATGCATAGTCAATAACATAATCCCTTAGATTACACATTTACGGTAATGTAATCTGACTACTTTTGGATTACATTTGAATTATGTTGACTATTTTTAGATTACTTTGTAACTGTTTGACTACTTTAGATTACATTTGAACTACGATCAGTTACTGATTACATGACAACAATTTTAGGTCAGTAATAAAATTGCTTATTACGCATTCATGGTGATGTAATTGGACTACTTTCGGATAACATTTAGATTACTTGTGAATTATCAGACTATTGTTAGATTACTTTTAGATTACTTTTGAACTGTATTTGTTTACTGAGTCCGGATTACATGACAATTTTTAGTCAGTAATTTAATTTTATAAATTACACATTTATAGCAATGCAATCTGACTACTGTTGGATTACATTTGGGTTACTTTTGAACTGTACTTAGTTACTGATTACAGATTACAAGACAGTTTTTGGTCAGTAGATTAATTTGATAAATTACACATTCATAGCAATGCAAACTGACTACTGTTGAATTAAATTTGGATTACTTTTGAACTATCTGACTACTTTTGGATTACATTTAGATTACTTTTGAACTGTCAGAATACTTTTGGATTAAATTTGGATTACTTTTGAACTGTCTGACTATTTTAAGATAACTTTGTAATTGTCTGACTACTTTTAAATTACGTTTGAATTATGACAAGTTACTGATTACAGATTACATAACAACAATTTTGGGTCATTAATATATTCTCTTGGGTTATGCATTCATGGTGATTAAATCTGACTACTGTTGGATTACATTTGGATGACTTTTGAACTGTCTGACTACTTTTGTATTACATTTAGATTTTTTTTTGATCTGTCAGACTACTTTTAGATTACATTTAAATTACTTTTGAACTGTACTTGGTTACTGATTACAGATTACATGACATTTTTTGGTCAGTAAATTAATTTCATAAGTTACACATTTATAGTAATGTAATCAAACTACTTTTAGATTACATTTGGATTACTTTTAAACTGTCTGACTACTTTTAGATTACTTTGTAACTGTCTGACTACTTTTAAATTACATTTGAACTACAACCAGGTACTGATTACATGACAACAATTTTGAGTCAGTAATATAATCGCTTGTATTATGCATTCATGGTGATTTAATCTGACTACTTTTGGATTACATTTGTGTTACTTTTGAACTGTCAGACTACTTTTAGATGACATTTAGATTACTTTTTAATTGTACTCAGTTACTGATTACTGATCATTACTGAGATCTGACTACTTTTGGATTACATTTGGATTAATTTTGAACTGTGAATACTTTTGGATTACTTTGTAACTGTCTGACTACTTTTAGATTACATTTAAATTACATTTGAACTGCAATCAGTTACTGATTACAGATTACATGACAACAATTTTTGGTCAGACATATAATCTCTTTAATTACGCATTTATGGTGATGTTATCTGGTTACTTTTGGATTACATTTGGATTACTTTTGACCTGTCAGACAACTTTTGCATTACATTTGGATTACCTTCGAACTGTCTGATTACTACTGGATTACATTTAGATTACATTTGAACTGCGATCAGTTACTAATTACAGATAACATGACAACTATTTTTTTGTCAGTAATATAATCTCTTATTTTACACATTCATGGGGATGTAATCTGGTTACTTTTGGAATACATTTAGATTACTTTTGAATTGTCTGACTACTTTTAGATTATATTTAGATTACCTTTGAATTCTCTGACTACATTTAGATTACTTTTGAACTGTACTTAGTTACTGATTACCGATTACATGACAATTTTGGTCAGTAATATTGTAATATAATTTCCTAAATTACACATTTATACTAATTTAATCCGACTACTTTTGGAGTACATTTATTCAATTCAATTAAATTCAGCTTTATTTGTATAGCGCTTCTACAATGTAGATTGTGTCAAAGCAGCTTCACATAAATAATCATAGTAACTGGATCAGGGTAGTTCAGTTGTTAATGTTTAAGTCCAGTTTAGTTCAGTTCAGCTCAGTTCAGTGTGGTTTAAAATCAATACTGAGAGTCCAAACACTGTAGAGCAAGTTTGGATTACTTTTGATCTGTAATTAGTTACTGATTGCATGACGACAATTTTTGTTCAATATAATCTTTTAAATTAGACATTTATAGTAGCTTATTTGGACAACTTTTGGATTACATTTAGATTACTTTTTGAACTGTAATCACAGCAGTTTTATTAAATGTTTATATATGTATATATATATATCTCTAGAAGTGTATTATTGTCATATGACCCCTCTCCATTGAAAGAAAAACACCATGAAAATATATGAGCAGCAAGTTTATTATGAAAAATATAAATGTTATAAAAACTGCAGTTGTGTAAATAACACGTTATTATGATGTAATCTATAAAAAGTAACTAATCTGATTACGAGTATTTTAAAAAGTAATTCACTCTAACTACAATCAATAAATTGTGAACTTCTTCCATTATGTAATGAATATGTTAACTGGATAAAATCCATAAAAAGTAACTATAATCCGATTACGAGTATTTTAAACAGTAGTATACTCTAATTACAAGTTTTTAAATTTTGTAATCTGGATTCATATAACCCCAGCAGTGTTATCATGCTCAGTGTTGTGTGAGTGTATGCGTGTTTATTGGATCTGGTGGTGTGTTTTTTGTATTAGTGGAGGATGCAGAGCGTAGACAGCGGCGTTTCCGTCTGCCTTCATCGCGCAGTAACTCCAGAGAGACTCCTGACAGCCCGCTCAGCCCCAGACCCTCCGCGACGGAGCCGGAAACATCCGTGATTAAAGAGAGATTCGTTCCCCCGGAGCTCAGCATCTGGGATTACTTCATCGCAAAGGTGGGTTGTTGCTGGAAGGGATACAGCCGGAAGTTAACAAGTATTATTTATATTAATTAAGTTAGCATTACTAGTTCTAGTCTACCCCTACCCAAAGCCTAAACAAACCCTCATTACTGTCAGACTATTTTTAGATTACATTTGGATTACTTTTGAACTGTACTTAGTTACTGATTACAGATTACATGACAAGTTTTAGTCAGTAATTCTATTTCATAAATTACACATTTATAGTAGTGTAATCTGACTATTTTACATTACATTTGGATTACCTTTGAACTGTCTTCTTTTGGATTACATTTAGATTACATTTGAACTATGATCCATTACTGATTACAGATTACATGACAACAATTTTGTGTCAGTAATATGATCTCTTAGATTACGCATTCATGGTAATGTAATTGGACTACTTTTTGATTACATTTGGATTACTTTTGAACTGTCTATGTTTGGATTACATTTGGATTACTTTTGAACTGTCTGACTACTTTTGGATTACATTCGGATTACTTTTAAACTGTCAGACTATTTTTAGATTATATTTGGATTACTTTTGAACTGTACTTAGTTACTGATTACGGATTACGTGACAATTTTTAGTTAGTAATTTTATTTATTAAAATTACTCATTTATAATAGTGTAATCTGACTACTTTTAGATTACATTTGGATTACCTTTGAACTGTTTTCCTTTGGATTACATTTAGATTACTTTTGAACTGTCCGACTACTTTTAGATTACATTTGAACTACGATCAGTTACTGATTACAGGTTACAGGACAACAATTTTGGGTCAGTAATATAATCTCTTAGATTACAGATTCATGGTGATGTAGTCGGACTACTTTTGGATTACATTTGGATTACGTTTGAACTGTCTGACTATTAGATTACATTTGGATTACTTTTGAACTGTTTTTAGTTACTGATTGCAGATTACATGGCAATTTTTATTCAGTAGTTGTGTTTAATAAATTACACATTTATCATAGTGTAATCTGACTACTATTAGATTACATTTAGATTACTTTTGAACTGTACTAAGTTACTAATTACAGATTACATGACAACAATTTTGGGTCAGTAATATAATCTCTTAGATTACGCATTCATGGTGATGTAATCGGACTACTTTTGGATTACATTTGGATTACGTTTGAACTGTCTGACTACTTTCAGATTACATTTAGATTACTTTTGAACTGTACTAAGTTACTAATTACAGATTACATGACAGTTTTTGGTCAGTAATTATAATATTTATTAAGAGTTATTTATATATTTATTAAGTTAGCATCACTAGTACTAGTCTACCCCTACCCAAACCCTAAACAAACACTCATTACTTTTGAACTGTCAGATTATTTTTAGATTACTTTTGAACTGTACTTAGTTACTGATTACAGATTACATGACAGTTTTTGGTCAAAATGATCTATATTGTTTATTAAATTACCCATCATTTGTGTTTTATTACTGTCTACCCTCACAGTGATGTAAAAACAATCATTAGTTTTCTGTGATTATTCTATTGTTTTAACAGTATAAACAGTTCTGGTTCTCTTTCGACTGCGGCTGTATCCCTTCTGGTCTTGAATTCAGAGGTTTGTGTGTGCTTCTAACAGGAGGAAGCCTTAACTGCGTGTGAAATGACGATGTTGCTAATAATATTCATTTCTGTCAAATGTAATGTGTGTGTGATCTGTGTGTGGGTCTGTGCAGCCGTTCGTGCCTCCGTCCGGCAGTGTAGTGGAGTATGACTCTGATGACAGCCAGGGCAGTGAGGAGGAAGAGGAGGAGGAGGATGAAGAGGAAGAGGAAGGAGATGCACTTGATTCAAACTCTCCAATGACTGAACATTCCAACAACAACTCCTACAGGTGCGCCCTGAGTCATGTGATCATGTGCCTGTGCTGTGATTGGCTTCTGATTATATTCCTCTATTGTAATTGGCTTCTGATGATGTTTCTATGCTGTGATTGGTTTCTTAACATGTTTCTGTATTGTGATTGGCTCCTGATCAAGTTACTGTTTTCTGATGCTGTGATTGGCTTCTTATGACGCTCCTGTGTTCTGACTGGCTCCTGTTAATGTTCCTGTGCTGTGATTGGCTTTTGATGATTCTCCAGTGTTGTGATTGGCTTCTGATGATGTTCTTGTGTTCTGATTGGCTCCTGATGATGTCTCTGTGCAGCTGGTGTTTAATGCGGTTGGCGATGGTGCAGATGATCCAGATCAACCTCAAGGCCTTCTACCCAATGGCAGGACACGATCTCTTGGGTATTGCAGCACATGTGTGATTCAGGATCGAGCCAGATCACTGTATATATGATGATGATGACCGTATGAAGTGTCCTTTTGTAAAGTGTCCTGATTTTGCAATGCTGTTTATATGGCAGTTTGTCAATATATTATTCACATAGTGGAGAAGTTATTAAAGAGAGAGTTCACGTCCTCAAGAGGTTCCAATTTTATGAGTTTCTTTCTTCTGTTGAACACTAACAAAGATACTCTGAAGCTGAAAACCTGTAACCATTGACTTTCATAATGGGAGAAGCAAATGGAAGGTTTCCAACATTTTTCTAAATATCTTCTTTTATGTTCAGCAGCAGAAAGAAAATCGTAAAGGTTTAAGTCAAGGGTGAGTAAATGATGGCAGAGTTTTCATTTTTGGGTGAACTGACCCTTTAAGAAGAACAAAATTACAG